ATCCTGTAGCAATATCCGGTCGTATAGCCAACACGGATACGTTGTATAATATTCATATCTATATACGGCCGATTATGAGATGAAAACCAACCTCAACAATTATTATAGATGTRTATTACAACTTTTGCAAGTCAAATATTTCCCTGCAGAATCAAACCGATATTATATTAGAAAGGCAGATGTCGCAAAAAACCAAATTAAAATGTCGCTATACGGATTATTATCAATTAAAATAAGATAGGTACATTTTAGCAGGCGATTTTTTTTAATTCAGTAGGATTGGCATTACGCTTGAGAAAAGATCAACTTAGCATSAAGCTAGCATTCACCAACTTCGTCCGATTTTAAAGTCAAAACTACCAATGCACACCAACCTTAGTATTTAAAAAATCTCTCTTGCAACCAATATAATAGGCAAATGCAATCCAAATTTGGGACTGTGCTAAGCCGTCCCGAATTCGCACCATACAAGCATTCTATTACATTACCCTCCGGATGATAACGTCTGCACCTTGGTTTTTATCCAACTCTTCACTACACTTTGACCTAAAAATCGAGCCAGTTGACCAATTAGCCACCAAACATTACAGATATTTATATTTCAAACTACCTTCCCATACTAACCCATCGGTATCCCAAATTTCATCAACTCAACCCATAATAAATACCATCCATAGGCTAAAAAGAAAATATTACAGAGATTTGTTAATCCAAAATAAATTCACGTTGCGTTCAATCACTGGTTGGCCTCACTCTTCATATTATTATTCAAAGTTATAATATTGTACTTAAATAATCCTATTTACTTATTGTGCTGTCAAATACAGATTGTGAAAATCAAATTAAAAAAAATTAAAAAACTCAGTAGTATTACCAAAAATATTTAATTATTGTCTCTCCACGCCTTAAATTCTATTCTGTAAAGCAAAAAGAACCGCTGACCATTATTTTTACAACAATATAGTAGATATATTTATATTGTATTAAATACAATACATTAATATGCATATTCACCTGTCGATTCAATCGTCATGTGGTTCGACAGTAAAACGGTTCTTGCCGCCAGCGCCATACTCTTCAATTCGATCAAACCCGTCGAACACTTGGCTTTCGGTTTTTTGGGAACTGAAAACAATGTATTAAGAAAAACGGCAAATAAGTATTGCGAAAAGTTCAAATCCYGAAAATAATTCATACGGATAGTTATGGAACGTATTGCGTCCGTACGACAAAGGGCGTCAGATACGGCCCTGTGGACTGCTACGCCGCACACGTCGGTCGGTGCGTTGAAAAAATGTAATATCTAAAATACAAAAATATTAATAATAAAACATAATCAAGAAATTCAACTACCCACAATAGACGTTTTATTCTGTGGTAACATTTCATATTATTGAATAGTTTTGAAATTATTAAATATGGAGAAAAATTGCAATTATAATATATTATAATTTGTCAATATCTCATCATATAATATCATAAAAATATGATAGCATGATAGATATTATAATATTATAGTTAATAATTTATTGTGCATTTTATGCCGTGACTGAAATTTATTTTCAAGTATAGCAACAATAAATTAGCTGTACTATTTATTTTTATCATACAGTTCTCACACATTCCAAATATTATATTGATGTAACTCAACGTTCGCTTACTTTGGACGGGGCGGCGATACGACGTTTGTCCGGACTCAATACGTTTGGGATAAATCTGTTCAATGTGCTCGACAAGTAAACTTTTTGAGCTGGCGTTCCGTCGGTCAGTTTGTTGAAATTGACTTGATCGTGGATGAAATTATGCTTAGAATACCTAAAATGGTCGAAAAAGTAAATCAAAAAACCGGACGCGGATGACGACGTATATATCAAAAGACTTATAATTGAAACGCTATTTTGAAAACAGTTCGAAACGGTAAACACGTCGGCKACGAGGCGATGCAATAGATTTATCACACCGCTGCCTATTTCTAGAAAATGGCCAGCATAGATGTAGTGAAAATGGTTAGGTGAAACATTTTAATAGTATGACTTTTTGGCAGTTTGGTGCGAATAAACGGAACAGGAACTTGGAATGCAAACGCAGCGGAATGCAATGATAATTACTGTCTGTGTCTGTGACAATATTTAACGATGATACATAATAATCCCTTCAACTTCGACCGTATATAATAATATATATAATATACAACATTCAGTACGCGACGTGATCGTTTTACCTTCACCACCACRATAATAACAATTATTATTATGATAGTTTGACTCAGTGGCGTGACGAAGGACTATATTTGAGGCATGTACCTCTGTTTGAGGGGTGATGGTGGGTGTTCTCAAAGATCATCTGATGTGTTAAAAAAAGCATTATTATTATTTGAATGAATAAATATATTTTATCTTAAAAAAATTTTTTAATGTTTTTTTTTGTGATGGGTGGAGTAGGTGGTTGGTCTGACAATATAACTGTGCCTCATAACAGTCATAACTGAATGAAGTCCACCACGCCACTGGTTTGACTTATATAAGTACCCGATAATAATTGCAAAATCGGATCGCTGATTTGTCCAGCATACAACAATAATGGTTACTATTATAGACGAACGCAGTCAAAACTTTTAACCGTCCCGTAATAACTCGGTTTTTCGCGACAGCTGTCGACCGTCGCCCTGCAGCAGCCTGTTTGCGGGACACTACTCACTTGACTTTCATGGTGACCTCGTCGTCCAGTCGGAGCATGTGCAAGTTGGACACACACCGTCTGGCCGATTCCGCGTCCTCCATCTCGACGAGCACCTTGTCGTCCCTCAGGATCTTCACCGTCATCACGTTCCCGTACAAGCAGAACAGGTTGAACACCCTGTCGCAGTTGACGGGCACGCGGTCCAGCCCGTGCACAAGTAGCACTTTGCTGGGCTCAGGCGGAGATGGTCGCGACTCGGCCGCCACGTCGGAGTCGCCACTGGCGCCCACCCTGCGGTGATGACCGTCGTCCGCGGCGTCGACGCGACTAGGTCCTCCGGCATTCCTATAATAAAGACGTGATTTATCTTTTTTTTTTTTTTTTTTTACATTGATTATATTTTAATACAAAATCCGTAATTATTATTCAAAAACAAGCGTATATGATAGGAGGTCGCGTTGGCTTGAAATACAGGAGACAAGGAGCCATCGGGTAAGTTTAAAGACGTGATATAGACACGAAAACCCCGAGGTCAGATTTGTATTTTTTTGTGTGTATATCGTGTATATCATCATATAGCCCTAATATGGGTATTAGCCTAGAACAATATGTATATAATATATAATATATAATGGTATTAGTCGTGCGTAAATAAATAAGATAATATAGTAAATACGATAATAAAATGATAGTAATAGGCGATAGAAATAATAATTATAATAATGATAATAGTCCTGCATAATATGTGTAGTACAAATGACCGATAAGAAATTAGAAGGTAGAATGGCGTAGAGAAGTGTGGCTCACGAGTCACGAGTACCACAGGGCCGAGATCCGGAAAACCCGTAAAATCAATCGAACCTCGATGAAAACTTACTATGAAGTCTGTGCAGAGATATATGAACAGTTAATAGAGTGCTCGAGAGTCATTCTCGTGTTACATGCTAGCCATACTGGTACAAAGTATTATTTGCAAAATTTTGATATAAAACATTGCATTTAAATATACCGCAGCTTAAATCGATAAATAAATAATATCGTTTTCAAATCGATTCGATTATAGAACCAGACTGCAGGCAAGGTACTGAAGGGTATAACGATAGTCACACCCCGGGCCCTACATAGCTACACATTCCAGTGTCGCGATTATTCTCGGGCGGATCGACCCTCAAATAATATCGTTGGCACGACATCAACAGCACTATAATATATTACTATGCATTTTTCGGCATAAAACGCCTTCCACAAGAAACCCATCTAAAAAATCGTTCTCGTTACGAAATTCTTACAGAAAAAAAAAAGCTCTGATGGAATGCATATTGTTAGCTCTTGCAGCGTTCAAGATATACACAGAGCATAATATTCCATTATATTTTTAAAATCGGAAATGTTCATATGTATCGAACAATCTAACACATATGGGTTTCGATTTTAATGTATTATTATTGAAATTACAATTGAATTTTGATAATGCCGAAAAGATTTAACATTGCTGCGCATATAATATATGTATATAGGTATGTTACTCTCTGCAATTCAAATTTTGTCTGTTCATTTCCCAGCTATTGCCTTGTCGTGAACGGCTGCAGCTGCATCCTTGCAGTCCAGTTCGGAACATCAGTCGGCCTGAACCACAACGATTTCGACAGTATAAAGAGTTACTAGTGTCGTTGTCCATCGCAATCGTTGTGCCAGGGAAGAGAATTTAAGTGATGGTGATATTTATTTTTACGTATTAAAAAAAAAAATATATTTATATAACGAAAGTCGTCTGTGTGAAGTCACGTGTGTATGTTGGATAACTCAAAACTATGATCGTCTGACAAAATCTAATTAGAAACTACCATTTTTACGCATACATAAATAATGAAACTTATCATACACAATATGTATAAACAAATTCGTTTTCATAGTTTCATCTTATTATTATTATGTTTATTACTATTTAGTATTATTATTATTATTTTATTACTATTTATTATTCTTATTTTTTATTTATTAAGACCCTTGGAAACATGGCCATTGGGTTTCATAAAAAATGAAACTATTGTAAAATATAATATGAGCTTATTCTAGATTTTTTGACTATTTAGTCTTCCAATGCTTTGAAAAATGAAGTTTGCTAATTTAGTGAATTGAGCTTTTATTTATTATTATTATTGCCATGTACCTACATTGTCATTATTTGAATTATTTTGATACTAATTATGGTGATTTCGTTTAAAAATAATTGCCCTCCTTCAAAAACACAACAATTACATTTATCTTGTACTACTGTGATGTGTGATAAATTTTGAATATTTTGTATTTAAATAATTATTATGATAAATTGATAAATATATAATGTTGTCACTAGCAATACAATGTCTACCAAATCCGCAATCATTCCAAATCATGAAATCCTAGTACTATGGTTTTTATAGCACTCCGTTAAGAAACCCATTTTGTTTTTGTTATTTCGTTAGTACCTTTTTACCACAAGTAATAATGTATGATATTAATTTACAACCGTTAGTCGGCGCGGTGTATAGGCAATTTCGGTACATGGACGTAAATGTAGTATTCGGATTTTGGACGTCTGCTACAGAGTGGAACGCCTTACGCCACCAATAATGGTTAAACTAACTATACAATTCGACTATTACAAACCATGGCTGCAAGTGCACGGGATTAAAACAGCTCGCCAATGAGGTGAATATTATATTGAATCTTATCACTAGAACCAATCATATTTTCGTTTCTAATAGTCGTATGATTAGAGACTGCAACATTTTAACGTTGAACGAATAGTAATAGTATAACTAATAAAAATGTATATAAATACGTTATGTCGATGTGTKTTATGATGGCTTCACCACATACCCACAAGAATAAAATATATTTAGTATAATAAAATACAATATTATTATATCGTTTTACCAAACAATACTACCAAAACCAACATATATGTATGCTGTTGTAAAAAATGTTATAAATTATTGTGACAGACACTATATAGTATACATTTATTTTCACTCTTTAAATTAGTTTATAAACTAGAGAGAGAAAAACATATTCTTTCAATAGAAAAGAAAAATATTGAATATTATATTATACTGAGTTACAATGATTTTCATTGAAAATGATTTTTCAAGTCCTTTTGAAAAATATTAGATATGTACTACGTTTTGTACAATGGCTGCAAACAGTCGCTGCTCTTTATCTTCTTGCTCATCGGTATTAATACTGGGTGTCCCGCGAGGATTTACCCATTGCGATATCTCACGAAATAATGGAGATATCAAAACTCTGGTTTTATAATAAGATTTACATGGATAAGAACTACAATTATTTCATTTTCAAAGAATTAAAGATAGCCATTTTGTAGTGTTTATTTTTCTGAAAATATTGACGTTTCAATATTTTATTTCCATTAATTTCCTGAATTTTGATATTTTTTCTAGTTTTGATAAAATAAAATATGGTTATAAAATTTATAACTATTAGAAACACGGAGAGTATTCGGCCGGCCGAATGGGAATGCGCGCCGCGCGGCGGGTCACATGTTTGATAACATTATGGTGTTAAATAATTCGCAATTTTTTTCGAAACTAAAAAAAATATTAAAAATCAGAAAATTAATGAAAATAAAATTTTGAAACGTCAATATTTTCAGGAAAATAAACACTACAAAATGGCTATCTTAAATTTTTTTGGAAATAATTAAATATAAAAATATATTTTTTAACATTTTTACCAAAACATTAAAATAAATTAAAATATCCCTTTGAGTTGTATTACCAAACCAAAATTTCTATATCACCATTATTTTGAGAGATATCGCAATGGGTAAATCTTCACGGGACACCCTGTATACAAGGTCCCTGGCAAATGTATTTTACAGATAATACATATAAAATATATTTATTAAAAATATTATAGGTAAAATATATATTACATGCTACAAAATAAAATAAATACAATCGATTAACAGCTCAACCCATTTTACTTATAATAATAAGAACATTTTTCAATTATTGTCATTAAAATTAACAGAAGAATTTGAGGTACAAGCCTTGACGTTGACAAAACAGCGATAGGTATTGTAAAGTATATTTTGTTTTCACCATTTTACAATAWGTAAAACTAAATTTAAATATATCTAACAAAATATTAATAGTCGTTCGCGTTTAATAGTCAAAAATTCCATTTAAACTTGGGTTTGGGGTACACGCGTATGGGGTAATTTTTCCTCTAAAGTAATATTAACATATTATATACAATTTTATTAATGGCCAAGTGTTAATTATTATTTTTTTCTTTTCCATTAGAAATAAGCCTCGCGGTAGCGGTGGCCATTGGGTGATATTGTATATACATTTTAAAAACATTTTTTTTCACCAAACGTGTATTTTATTACAGAAGAATTCGTTTTTTTAATTTATTTACTTATATTTTTGTGAAAAAAAATATACCTACCAACATATTATGACATTTTTGTGATCGTTTAATAACTTTTAAAAGATATAATTACTCAATAAAGTACGGGAAATTCACAAAAATAAAATATAACATATTATTTAATTTATACTGAGATAAATAATTACCTTGCGCCATTTACAAAAGGTTAAAAAAATAAATATTATCTAGGTGTGATTTGTTGGCATCGCCAACTAAAATGTARTTAAACTTATCATTTATCAATAACGTAATGTAGTTTTTATTGTTTGTAATCAAACGGATTATCTGTTGACCAAACCCACTCAWCCGCCGATTATTTTTTACCATGACTATAATAGCAATAGCCAATAAGTGGTTCACTGGTTCTCGAATCTCAAACGATAATATTAAAAAGAAATGAGAATTTAGCTTTAAATGGATACGATTCAGGTATATTATGTAGACTCACA